CACGCACTTTCCACAGGACCCAGTAAATGCAATCCTGGGCATTTATCCCAGGGAATTAAAAACTCACTGTTCACAGGGTGTTTAACCACTGACCTATTGAAGGACCTTTGAGATATATACAAATATTCCCATCCTCCTCATTCATAATTACTCAAATCTAGAAAACAACCAAAAGCTGAATGGTTAGGGCTGGGGAGATGGCTCAGTCGGTAAAGCACTTGCACTGCAAACACAAGGACCTGAGTTTAATCCCCAGAACCCACATAAAAACTCCTGGCACAGCAGCATGCATGTGTAATCCCACAGTTGTGGAGACAAAGACAGGAGGATCCCTGGGCTTGCTGCCAGCTACTCTAGGTAGGTGAGCTCCAGACCAATGAGAAAACTTGTCTAAAGGAGGTGAAGAGTGACCCTGAGGATGACACCAGAAATTGTCCTCCAACCTCTACACACACCCCCCAACACACACACATTAATAAGAAAAAGTTGAATATTTAAATGAGCCTTGGGCATCCGGAATACCACAGACTACCATGCAGCAATAAAAAGGTTAAAAAAATCAAATATTAAACAAGTTGGACAATTCAAAGTAATCACGCTAAGTTAAAAAAAAAAACCTCATGTATTCGAACTCTTGGGGAGGTTATGGAACCTTTAAGAGGTGGAGCTTTGCTGGAAGAACTATGGCACCAGGGGTGGGCTTTGAGGGTTTATAGCCTCACCTCACTTCCTGTTTGCCTGCTCTGCTTCCTGTGTGTGAAAGAAATGTGATCACCTAGCTTCTGCTCCTGCCAGCCTGCCAGGCCTTCTCCACCATTAGGCCTCTAGGCCCCAGGAACTGTATGGCAAAATAAACTATTCCTTAAGTTGTTTTAGGTCATGTTTTTTCATCAGAGCAATAAAACATTAACTAATACACCCAGAAACCACATTAAAGCCAGGCACAGTAGCACCCAGGCCTGATCCCAGCTCCAGGGAACTTAAGACAGAAGAATCCCTGGGGCCTCTGGCCAGACATTTAAGTCAATTGGTGCATTCTAAGTTTAGTTAGAAACCATGTCTCAAAAAAATAAAGTGGAAAGTAATTAAAGAAGAGACCCTATGTTGACCTCTGGTCTCTACATATATATATACACACACACAAACACATACATACATATTCACACAAAAAATAAAATAGTAAAATAAAATAAAAATGTGCTACTCTTTATAATCAGGGAAGAAATAATTCAAATAAATAACAGCTTTTTAAAAATCCCATTAGGAAGTCTGTGTCTAGATTGTTGACATGATACAAGTGGTTACAATACTTTATCACATTCTGGAGTAATTTGAAAACTGCATGAGAAACTGGCCATTGGTCCAAAGTGAGAGTCTACAAGTTGTAATGAATAGGACAATACAGTCCAGTCTGTCTTGCAATGGTCCATAATGAAGAATGTATAGTAACTCTGTTTTGTTTTGTTTTGTCTTTTTGAGACAGGGTCTCCCTGTAGCCCTAGCTGGCCTGAATTCACTACGTAGACCAGGCTGGCCTCGAACTCACAGAGATCCGCCTGCCTCTGCCTAAAACTGTGCTGGGATTACACCACCACATCTGGCCTGTAACTCTACATTTTAAAGGCATGTTTAAGAGAAGTAAATGGGAGAAACATGTAAAAAAGACATAATATACAAATGCCCCACCACATCCATATTGGGTTTTTGTAGTTTCAGTTACCGGTGATCAACCACAGTCCAAAAATATTAAATGGAAAACTACAGAAATAAACAATTCATGTGTTTTAAATTATGTACCATTTCAAGTGCTGTGATAAAATTTTGCACTGTACTCCAAATGCAGTCCTCCATTTTCTCCAAGAAAGAACTGCCCCTTGGTCCAGCACACCCATCAACATAGCTTCCCACCATTAGCCAATTTTACCCAATCTCAGTTATGTACCAATGAGCCAAAAGGTCAAGAGTAGTGATGTGAGCATTTTTATTACAGTATACTGTCAAAATTGTTCAATCTTTATTCTTCAACTATGCCTAACTTACAATTTAAACTTTCTGATGGGCTGGTATGATTGCTTGGCTCCAGGCAACCATTGGGAGTATCGGAACACGCATGCATCCCTGTCAGTAAGGGGGAACAACTGCCATTATTATCTAATCTTTTCAGAAACTGTTTGCCAACTCCTGTCCTAGGGAGGAGTGTCCAATCTACACCCCAGGACAGCTATGAATGCGTCACAATACAAAATCATAAATTTATTTAAAACATTACAAGTTTTTGCAACTCAACTGAGTGCTTCTTGAGGGTGAACTTTGTAGATGACAATGAGGAATGTCAAAGGTTGGGCATGTCTATTAGAGTAATCCCTAACTACATGCCAACCTCAGGAGGAAGACATGCTAGGATTTTTTTTTTTTTTTTTTTGGTCTTTTTCAGACAGGGTCTCCCTATAGCCCTAGCTGTCCTGTAACTCACTATGTAGAACAGGCTGGCCTCGAACTCAGAGAGATCTGCCTGCCTCTGCCTCTGCCTCCCGAGTGCTGGGATTAAAGGTGTGCACCATCATAACCAGAAACATGCTAAAATTTTTTAAAATCTCCTTGCTTGCATCACCTATCTGCTTTTTCAAAGAGAAGTCTTTAGCTTTTTGGAAATCATCCAGTTCTGAAAAGTACATGGTAAAAATATCACTTCAAGACATTAGGCCTGGTCTGGTGAGATGGCTCAGTGGGTAAAGGCACCTGCTGCCAATCCTGACTACCTGAGTTTAGTGCCCGAGACCCAAATGGGGGAAGGAGAGACACTTCTGCAAGCTGTCCTCTGACCTCCACATGTGTACTGTGGTAAACACACACACACACACACACACACACACACACACACACACACACACACATGCAACTAATTTAAAAGGACATTAGGCTTGGCAAAGCTTACCAATGGAAGCACTACCTTCAGGAAGCCCAACTTCCTGAATGAACTTCTGAAATCATGGCCCCACTCAGAAATACAGTGAGCCTCATCCACAGCAATGAGTGTAATGCCTATAAAAAGAGACGGGAAAAATAAAGTTCAAAAAGAAAAAGCCTAAGTCATTTTTTTTTTCTTTTAGAACATATAAATCTTACAAAAAGAACAATCCAAATCAAAGTATTTGGTTCACACACAAAAAATAGAAACATAAATAGCACCAGATAACATCAAAAATCATAACTGAGACTGGGAGAGAGGGTAATGAATAAAAGGCAACAGGATAAAGGAAATTTTATATATTAATTCAAACAGATTTTATCATTATTCCTCAAAGAAATGAACTGCTTACTATTACTTTGTCCCCAGAACTCACTTAGAAACCATCTGCAAGAATGTTTTTTTCAAAAGAACTGTTCTGTTTCTCTTTGGTAATAATGTCAATCTTATCTCATAGATTAGCTATCAAAAGAAACAAGTAGTCAGCACATTTCTACTGATACTAAGTACACCACTGTCCATGATTGATCACATATCATATTGGAGGAAGTTCCTCTGAAATGCCAGTATTTGAAGACAGGCTGACATCCACATTGCCTAATGTAAAATGTATGGAAAAACAAAATCTCATTATGTACCAAGTAGGTAAGAGGGAACATAACTCTCCACTCAACCCCACACCATATGCACATACTGAAACAAGATCAATAGTGTCATGTAATGCATTTCAAAAAAGGATTTAATTGTATAACCATCCATTAAAATGTCTTCAGATATTTCAAAGTAAGGATTAGAACTGTCTTACCCTCAATTACCAAACTGATATTTTTGACACAAAAATAACTTTTTGCTTTATGTTACTATGTTCTCCTATTAGTGAGGTCACTAAAAACATGCTCTGGCATCAGACTGCCTGTATGCAAAACTTGGCTCCACCATTTCCCATTTATATTACTTTGAGCAACTTAGAAAGCTTTCCAATTCTCATATTCTCAAAAATACAACATGGAGCCAGTGAGATGACTCAGTAGATAAAAGCACTTTCCTCACAAACCTGACAACCTAAATTCAATCCCCAGAAATCATGGTGGAAGAAGATAACTGATTCCCAGTGTTGTCCTCTGACCTCCACATGAGCTCTGTACAGCACATTCCCGCCTATATCCCCCCAGAACCACCGACCCCCCCACAGTAATAGTAAATAAAAATAAAAATACAATGTGGATAGTAATAGCAACCAACACCTATTACTACTCTAAAGATTTAATCAGATCATTCATATAAAATGCAAAGGTAGGCCAGGCACCAAAAAAGAGCTTAATAAAAATACACTACCATTTCTCTCAATCCTCTCTCTCTGCCTTCCGTCTGCTGGGAGGGGCATTCTGGGATTATATACCCAAGTGTTACTACATCTGGCTTTTTATGTGGGTTCTGGGGAATCTGAAGTCAGATCAGCAGGCATGCAGGGCAAGAGCTATTCCTACTGCACCATCTCCCAAGGTCTATGGTGTACAATTTAAATTTTTTGACAATTTCATACATGATTACTGTATTCACATCATTTCCACCCCCCTTTTCCCTCTCTCTCTCTCCCTTCACATCTCTCCTCTCAATTTCGTGATCTCTTCTTTAATTGTTATTGTTACATACATACACATGTGTATATGTATAAGCAGCTTACAGCTTACTCCATTTAGCAGTGCTAGTATGTACATGTGTTTTGGGTTGGCTACTTGGGACTGGACAAGCTTCTGTCACTGATTGCTACGGCTCTTCACCTCAAGGTGAGACCTTGTGAAATGTTCCCCATCCACAATGTCATGTCAGCTGATATTAGTACCAGGTCTTGCTGAGATGTGAGGGGTGCAGCTTCCCTATCTTATAATCTTTCTGTCCCCTCTACCATGATGCTCCCTGAGTCATCCTGGCCTCCAAAGCAGTGAGCAAAAGAGACCCTGTCCCAAACAAGGTGAGAAGAAAGGACCACTACATGAAGTTGTTCTTCTGTAAGCTGGGGATGGGAGGCAAACAACTCAAGAGTCAGGAAGTCCCAGCAACTGACCACTAGGCTATCACTCCCTAGTATACATACAGCAGTAAGGAATGCTGAGAAATACTCTGACAACCTGAGCTACCTAGAAGACTCAGATGGCCCAGCTGCCTGGAAGAGGCAGAGACCAGTTAAGCTGCCTGGAAGAGGGTCACACAACTGAGCTACCATGAAAAGGCACTCGCCAACCTGCTGAGCTGCCTGCAGGTTGTGCAGTGCACTCCAGATTTCCTGCTTTTGTGAGCTGTTACCCATGCAGGGGTGGGCTCTGTGTGACATAGCTTTGAGTCATTCCTGCTCCTATAAGTAAACCCTCACCCCATATTCCTGTTATTAACCTTAACAGAACTCTTCGGTTCACCAAACCACACACACACACACACAATATTTTAGTATAATTATTACATGGCCGTTATGAGCTAAACCCTTTTCAAGAGTCCAATGTGGCACAGGCATGTAAGGTCAACTTGAGCTATACAAAAGAGTTTGAGACTTTCGTAAGCTACATAAGATCCTGTCGAAATAAGCAAGCAACTCTTTTTCTACCAATAATAAGATTACTAAAATACAATCAGCCTTGAGGATTTCACAGTTCTATAGAGGAGACCAAGAACAAGGCAGCTCACTGAGGTGATGAGCTGTGCTGAAACCCACGGAGCACTCAAAGAAGCAAAGAGAAGAGCACGAAGAAGTTGCTGAACAAACAACAGCAAAGTCAAGCGATCGCACCAGAACTCTCTAGTTGCCACTGAATGATTTGGAAATTTTCAATGCTACCAATACCAGCAAACCAGATTTTGGATTTAGAAAACTAAACTGCTCAGATTTTAAGTTAAATAGGTTAAAGCACAGGAAATAGTCTTCCTTTATTTTAAAAGCCTTTAGCTGCAAATGTGACAAGCAATTTAATGGAGCTGAACCTTGACTAGCATAGTTTAGGCAAGCTTTGCCAGCATTAACTTTAAATGTTCAAGCATCCTCGCAGGTCCTATACATATTTCATTTTGGCATACCTGTCATTCAAGTCTTATTTACAAACCGTAAAAGACAATTACAAGTGCAGCTGGAAAGGCATCTCCATATAAAAGTGTGTTTGCTGTTTGTTATAAATCCAGACTCCTTAAAAAATTTAACATTTACCTGAAAATGACAAATCTGATTAGCTAAATGTCAAACTGCTGTACAAATAACATCCAGAGCGCACTGTTTTTTGCAGGCATTTTACAGTCTTCTGCAAGCAATAGCCAAAGGAAATATTTCAGAATTAACTTTCATTTAACTTATCCCTTTTTATAAATCACTGAGTCTCCCAAAGAAAATATTTTTATTCATCATAAACAAAAAAAAACCTCTGCTATAATGATTAAACTATTCACAAATGTTTGTTGACACAGAATCTCATTACATAGCTCAGACTGTCCTCAAACTCATTATGTAGTCCAGGCTGGCCTCGAATTCTTCATCCTCCTGCATCAGTCTCCTAGAACTGTGATTACACACACAACAAATGCTTTTTTCTTTAAGAAGAAAGAAATAGAGAAAGAGAGGGAGAAAGACAGAAAGAAAGACAAAAGAAAGAAGAAAGAAAGAAAGAAAGGAAGGAAGGAAGGAAGGAAGGAAGGAAGGAAGGAAGGAAGAAAAGAAAGAAGGAAGGAAGGAAGGAAGGAAGGAAGGAAGGAAGGAAGGAAGGAAGGAAGGAAGGAAGGAAGGAAGGAAGGAAGGAAGGAAGGAAGGAAGGAAGGAAGGAAGTAAGATGCCTAAGCTTAAATATGGGCACTCATCTTCAAGCCTGACAACCTGAGTGTGATCTCCAGATCAAACACTGTTGAATGAAAGAATGCCCCAGAGTCCTGTAAGTTGTTCTCTGAAGTGTGCGCATATGTGCGCGGATAGACACACACACCACACACACACACACACACACACACACACACACACACACACATACACACACACACACCTGAACACCCACACATCCAAAACTCCCCACACTCAGAGAAAACATAAAAGAAAAAAAACAGCTTTTTAAAACCCAACAAGGTTTGAGGGGCTGGAGATGGCTCAGCAGTTAAGAACACTGTTGTTCTTGCAGAAGTCCCGGGTTCGAATCCCAGCACCCACATGGCAGCTAACTGTCCGTAACTTCAGTTCCAGGGGATCCAACAGCCTCGTCCTCCACGGGCACTGCACGACATGGGTACACTTACCTACACACAGACAATACACACGTACACATAAAATAAAAATAATTTTTAAAAATATCTTTAAAAAAACATAATGAGGTTTGAACTGAATTCAGGCCTGGAGCATGCTAGGCAAAGACTCTACCTTTGAGTTATAGCCTTTGTTTTAGAGCATTCATAATTCATATATTACTAAAGGTTAAAATGTTAAAAGCTACAACTAGGGGCTGAAGAGATGGCTCATCGGTTAAGGGCACTGGCTTTTGCAGAGGACTAAGTTTTGGTTCCCAGCACACGGTAGCCAACAACCATGCATAACTCCAGTTCCAGGAGATCTGACGCTCTCTTCTGGACTCCATGGGCTCTGCACAACACATGTGTACTTGCATACATGCAGGCAAAACATTCATACATATAAAATAAAAATAAATTTTTAAAATTTAGGTTACAATTACTTGTCAAAAGCATTTACTATTTACTGATGCTAATTCATCTAACATCATTACAAAGATGAAACAGGCACTGAGGTGGAGTAAAACCTACACCACTAGAGCCACAGATGCCAGTTTTTCAGATAAAACCATGAAACTGATCTACAAGGTAGTTAGGTTTAAAAATGCTCAAAACAACTTCTTATACCTAAAGGAAGCATACTAAACTTGTATTCCATTAACGACAGAAATATGTCCACGAGAGTTGGACTGCTATAGATGAGCTCTCTGATGACACATTCCCTCAAATGTCAATCTATGCCCTCATTCGTTGGTTTCATCAGATCCTAACAGATACAACTTTTCTTTCAGGGTTGCTTTAAAAAAATTGTTAAATATATTCCTTA